ATTATATATGTGAATATTAATATATATATATATATATATACATATATATAAGAGGAATTCACTTATTCCAAGAGTAAATTTACTTACTTCACTCAGTAACTTCTATTCTACATCAAATTTTAACGATCCAACCGTTAAATTAAAAGTTTTTAGTACATAGATCAAGTCTATAATTTAAAAAAAATGAAACATTTTATACTTCATTTCACTATTTCAAATTGACGGATAATCATAAAAATATTTTATACGTTAATTTGAATTTATATAAGGAAGCATCAAATAGTTTTGAAACTTTTTAAAATTTTGTATACTTGATTTATGCATTAAGAACTTTTTAATTCAATGGTTGAATCATTCAAATAAATGTAGAACATAAGTTATTGAATGAAATAAGTCTAAGTAGACTTACTTTTGGAGTAAGAGGATCCCTTCTCTCTCCCTCTCTTTTATATATATATATATATATATGGGTAAAAACTTACACCAAGTCTCATATCTTTAATAATTTTTTGTATAATGCAAATATAATTAATCCAACTGTTGATTTATATGATATTATACTTAAAATCGTATATATCAAATTTCACATGATTCAAAAATTATTTAATAGTTCATCACCTTACATTATTTTAACATATAATATAATATTTAAATTATATATAAATATCCATTATTGAATAATATATCTCAAAAAGTCTAAATCATGTAAAATTTAATATATATGATCATGAGTATAATATCAAATAATTTAACGATTGGATCAGTTAAATTTGATTAACATCACCCTCTACTTACTATTCCAAAGTGATAAATTGTTTCGAAACTATTCCACTTTAATAATTAGTTTTAGAAATTACATTAGTGAATGATTATTTCTTTTTAGTATGGTTCAAGCCTTGTTTTCGATCTTGCAAGGAACGGAGTAGTGCATTAACTAATAAATTAAAATTTATTGTAATTATATTAATGTTTATAAGTATTTGTTACACATTAAAATCAATTTTGGATGAAACTTAAAAATAACATAAAATGTTTGCAATTTCTAATTTTAGATGTAGCAAAGATAATATATTTTTCTTGGTAATTATCTTAATTAGAACCTTTGGCTACCCGGTGTGATCCTAAGGTATTCCTCTATGCTTCAGTCCTTTGGAGCAGCTGTGGACTAATCCTCAGCTTAGTCTCACTTAAGGCCTCTCAAGTCTTCATGCCTCTTTATGTATGTATTTTGTAGTAGACGAACCAAGTCCTCTTGCATAAACTTGTAGTGTGTTGTTAACTAAGTTACACTCATTTGATAAAGGTAATTTATTTTAGTTATATATAAAGTTTTAAAACAATTATTTTTTAAGTATATCATGCATTTAAGATTATTTTAAATTTAGATCGATTTTAAAGTTATTATAAACTATTTATTATGATTTTTATGGTAATTATTTTAAAAATTTAACAAAATTACAAAAAAAAAATCAATGAATCCAAAACCAACTCACAAACCGAAAGGTTTAAATCGGTACAAATCAGTGGTTCGAATTGGAATGAAAAAAAAAATGAAAATCTAATAAGTCTGGCTAGATTACAAATTTGATGTGGAAAAACTCATCAATTGTTAATAAAAAGGGGGTTTCAATCAACAATTCACAATCCGCAGAGATTTCTATAGTTGTATACTTTTATTTCCCCACTTTGTTAGGATTAGATTTTAAGGTAAGTTGTTGCATCTACTCATGTTACATGATATAACATTGATTTTAACTTTTAAATTTTTAACATTTTAAAATAAGATGATCCGATCAAAATCAACCGGGTCATAATGAAATTTCTTTGGTTTGGATTAAAAAAAAAAAAAAAAGAGAGAGAGAAATCCGATCCAAACTGAATTTTAAAATTTAACATTCAAATAATTTGAGATTAGATTTTTTTTACCATAAAATTTGTATAAAATATTTACTGTCGGAAATAATAACAAATCTTTGTCAAAAATTATGAGTATATGTAAGATGAGTATTTATCTCTCAACATAATTTATTTTATATTCCAGTTCTTTATCAAAAATCATGAGCACATACAAAATATATATTCTTTTTTCAACATAGTCTACTTCATATTAAAGGTCAGGATTTAAAACTTAAATATCTTCGTTAAAGGATAACAGTGATTATATTTTTGGTAACCAATGTTAATATACTTGAGATTATACGAGAGTGTAAAATTACGTTTACAATCTATGTAAAAAGGTAGATTTAAAAGTAAATGTATATATTTGCTTTTTGAGACATACATGTGTAAGTTATTAAAACCTGATTGAACTGGTGATCGGTGGCAGACCAAACGGTGAACCAATCCCGTTTTCAAACTTGTTTTTTAAAATAGTATAGATTTAAATACAAGTAAGTTGTTACGAGGAGGACTCAAACCTTGTCATCTCACTTTAAGATACGACACATACCACTGGGCTAGATTTTATTATAAATAATAAAAGTTAAAACAAACACTTTGTTGGTTCCTACTAGATAGGATTTGAGCCTTGTCCCTCCACAAGGAGATAAAACACAACATCCACTAATCTAAACAATAATTACATATTATGTTTTACAAATATATTATACAAATATAATTTATTTCAATTTTTATCTTGAATAATGTTACCTATATATATATATATATATAAAGTAAAT